TTTGAAGTACATTTTAAGTCATGTACATAATTGAGATTATATGTCCTAAAATGTACAGTCTGGAAGTGCTTTGCATTTTAATGCAGGGGAAAACTTCACACGTGTTATGGTAACGTTGCTTAAAAAACAGGGTAGTGATAGTTTTTAGATCCCTCTGTGCGATCACCCAGTGTAAGTATTTCTGCTGAGGACTAAAAGGGTTGTAGCAGTTTTTCTTCTATGTATTAACTCAGCATTTGAATCTATTTAGGTTTTCGGACACATAAGTCATATCTTATGAATGATACAGCTAAGAGTATTGCTAAAGGTGTCAACTGAAGCTTGGTTGTTGGCAAAAGGATGCCTTGTGCTTTATCAATTCAAAAACACAGTGCTCCTTAGTGCGGTTTCATTGGTCTGCTGAGACAATAACAGTTTACATGAAGATATAACCTAGCAGCAGGATGGCTGGAACGACGCCAGCAGTTTTTGGCTCGTCTGTGAATATGGCTGAACTTTTTTGGACGGGATCTTAAAAACCAAACAAACCTGAATGGTACATGTTACCAAGGAATGAAGTTTGGTTTTTTTTTTTCTTTTTGTACAATATACTTTTCTGAAATACAGTAATGCATTGAAATACAAGGACATAGCCACCTCAGAAAAAGCATCTTGTTCAGCATATTTTGAGCAGTGTTTCCCAACAGAATAATTATGACATGAGTATCTTAGATGCTTACTGCGCTTATTGCAAGGGTAGGAGAGTCTTTACACTTAGCACACTTGGTATGGGAGATTGTAAGGGATACCTTTGAAAACAAACAGTACAAATCAGTATGTGACTTACGGGATTTGGTTCTTTCCCGTTAATTTTTTGCTGATGTAGGTTTACTGGAGATAGTGCAGTCACATCTGATTTAAACTAGTGTAAGTGAAAACCAGAATCATGCTCATGGTCATACAAAAATGTAATCTGTAAAAGGAAAGCAAAATATTAGTTTATTTGTCTAGCAACTTATTTCACTCAAACTGTGAGAATCTTTTTGTATCATTATCCCATTATCAGTGGCTAAATAAGGAACTGAAAAACTACAGAAGAGCTGGGTGGAGACCTAAGAAAGCAATTCAGCAGTCTGGAACTTCCTCTGCTAAGCAATTCTGGCACTAAACCCAAGCAAAATCAGAGTTATTCAGCCAAAATAAATCCGTGCAATGACGATATCAGATGTGAGGTAACAGCAAGTCATGCTGGAGGATATCAGACATTCTTGAAGAAACCACAAGGCCTAGATATAATCCTTTGCCATTACACTACAGCCCTGCCAGCAAAGCAAACACAAATTTTAGAGTCATTATGGCAAGGCAAGTAAGAGCATATGGAGTCTATGTGCTTAGGGTGGGAGCTGGCAAGCTGCTGAGCACCTTCAGCTCACACGCCTCCAATAGCCATTAAACATCCTTCATTCCCACACTCTGATCCCTATGGAAGCAAACAGCTCTCTAGTATCATTTCCACAAGAAACAGCTGCAAGGCTTGTTGAAGTCTTTCCTTTGCTGTCAGGACGTTATTGATCAAACTTTTCTACCACTAGTCTGGCTGTTTTCTTTAGTTTTTCTATGTGTCCGTATGTCTGGGCATATTCTTGAAAGCGATTGGATTGCCTCAGCTTGAGAAGTTGCTGTCCATCATCTGCGCAGTGTAGCCAACCATGCATACACTTGTGACTTACATTAGCAAATCTTACTTTTCAGTTGGGTTGGGCAGTTAAGACATTCAGAGGTGAAAGTGAGAGGTGATCACTTCTTTCTGCTTACCCCACCTCAACAACACTCAGACAGACTTCTTTGCAGCGCGAGTAAAACCTACACCAATTTTCCTTCAATGCCTTATACTTCGTGGTGCTTCTGAAGGTGCATCATAGCCCCCCATGTAGAAGAGATGGAGCAGGTATCTGGGCCAGTACCATCGGCAAGCCTAAGCCTTCAGTGTGTGCATGCACTCAACTATCCCTGGTTTAGCAGGCAGTAGCTTTCTATGTTGTGGTAACATGACCTTTCCTGATTGGATTCCTGCATCCTTAACCAGCTCTGCTGTAAAAACGTGCTAGACATTTGACTCAGCGGCCATTCCAAAATACCCTTTTGGAAAAGGGGTCTTAGAGCACTCTAAGTTATGTTCATGCACACCGTGCACAGGCATATTCCTTCCTCCCTGTTTTTCTTCTCGCTGTCTCAGGAGATACGCACAGAGCTTGCTTTTCTTCTTTTGCACTAGGTGTTGCAGGAAGCCCCACACACCTCAGATCCCATTTGATTCATATGTATGGTATTTGGCTACTGTGCTTGCAAAACTCGTACTCTGATTTATAAGTTGATGTGAAATGCTGAATTCTAGACTTGAGTAAATGAATTAGTGTGTATTGTAGTTTAGGACTATTAAACACTGAAATGTAGAGATGGAATTAAGTTAGTTCCGCATAAAAAGGGGGATGTTTTATTAGAGGTAATAAATTCAGTGCAGAACAAATTTATTTAGACCATGATTGTTAAATTGCTTGGATAATTAAAACCTGTGATGGGTAAGATGACACATGGTAGGAAAAGGTTAAGTATTTAACTCGTTTTTTTCATAGTTTGATTCATTGTAACGTAAATACTACTCGTGTGAGGTATGTTAACTTTATTTCTAAAATGTGTTTGCCCAGGCAGTGAATAGTCGTTATTTCATAAAGTTAAGAAAATAGAAAGCTAAACTTTTATGACATTTATATGGGCCAGCTCTAGCCAGAAAGATGTAAGCACTGAGGAAAATATAAGCACTGTAGAAACTGTGTCATTTTGACCATACAAGGGGCTAGCTGCCTGGTTAATGTCTGGCATTTATGTGAATTCCAGTTCTTTCAGATATCTATTTTTAACCTTCATTAAATTCTTCTTGGAGTGACACAACAGAAATCCCAAAGAAAATCGCTAAGAATAGTTTCCCAAATCTTCTCTCACTTTTCTTTACAAAATATTATACAAATCTCAAATTACTGTGCTTCATTTGGGATCAAGAGGAAACAAGAAGTGGGATGAAGATTATCCCACCTCTGCTGACTGCAAGCACAGTAGGCTTTATGTCCCCTACCAAGGACTACTGCATACATTTTCAATCGGTGTGACACTCCCTTTGTTTCTATTTTTCCTGCTTATTGATTGAAAAAGCAGACTGAATTCTCCCTAATTTTCATCCAAAAATGACATTATGCAATGATGAGCTTAGCCATGCTTGAAAGAGTGCATTCTACAGTGGAATAAATCATAGAATCATAGAATGGTTTGGGTTGGAAGGGACCTCTAAAGGTCATCTAGTCCAACAACCCTGCCGTGGGCAGGGACATCTTCAACTAGATCAGGTTGCTCAGAGCCCCGTCCAACCTGACCTGGAATGTTTCCAGGGATGGGGCATCCACCACCTCTCTGGGCAACCTGGGCCAGTGCTTCACCACCCTCAGTGTAAAAAATTTCTTCCTTATATCTGATCTAAATCTACCCCCCTTTAGTTTAAAGCCGTTCCCCCTTGTCCTGTCGCAACAGGCCCTGCTAAAGAGTTTGTTCCCATCTGTTTTATAAGCCCCCTTTAAGTACTGATGGGCTGCAAGAAGGTCTCCCCGGAGCCTTCTCTTCTCCAGGCTGAACAACCCCAACTCTCTCAGCCTTTCTTCATAGGAGAGGTGCTCCATCCCCCTGATCATTTTTGTGGCCCTCCTCTTCTGGACCCGCTCCAACAGGTCTGTGTCTTTCTTATGCCAAGGGCTCCAGAGCTGGAGGCAGTGCTCCAGGTGGGGTCTCACCAGAGCAGAGCAGAGGGGCAGAATCCCCTCCCTCAGCCTGCTGGCCACGCTTCTTCTGATGCAGCCCAGGATACGATTGGCCTTCTGGGCTGCGAGCGCGCATTGCTGGCTCATGTTGAGCTTTTCATCCACCAGTACCCCTGAGTCCTTCTCAGCAGGGCTGCTCTCAGGGCTTATGCAGGTTTAGCCTATGCATGGAGCTGTGCACAGCCTGCCAGCAGCCAGCATCCTCAGGTAGGGATCTACCTATCTTGTCCCATCTTGGTAGGGACAAATCTTTAGGTAGATGCAGAGCTGAAAGCTGAAGAGCTGTGTAGCTAAATAAGTGCAGACTCGCAAGTAGCCAGCTTGGATCCCAAAGAACAGAGCCTGCCCAAATTGATATGTCAGATGTGTGTCCCAGGTGCAGGGCTAAGAAACTATTTTTTTTTTAATGCTAAAGATATTTTTCAGCCATTTGAAGGTTCTTTTTTTTTTTTTTTGTCACATACCATCAATCAGATTTCTACTTCTAAAACTAGTGTGCCAGTTTCTGGTTTTATTCATATATATTCATAGATGTCTGGAGTTAGTTTTTCTACAGAGGGCAGAATTTGGATCATCATTTCTAAAGCTGAAAGGCTGCTGTATATGCTTAGTCTGCCACCTAGGTCTTTTTAATGGAAATATCAATCTGGAATGATCTGGAGGCACACTATGACACTTTTATTTCTTTTACACCTAATTCTGCACGTTGTCCCATTGAATGACTTCATTAAATAAATAATTTGAGTCTGAGAAGCTAGCCTGTAATTTGCCATTTAGTGGATGTGGACTAGCAAGGGTTATGGGCTATTTACTGCATTCCCTGGTATTCCACTTCAAGTCTGTCTATGTAGGAGAGAGTGTGTTTCAGCACACTTAGGATCAGATTTTACTTGCGCTGAATTGTGTCACTTTGTTTTGTTCACCTGACATCAGTTTACAGTAAGTGAGAAGTTAGATTGGAATCTTTTTTTCCATTGAGATAATCTGTTAATAGAGTGGGAGGATATTCTAAATCTAGCTTTGTTTATTTTGTGCTTAACAGCCTGAATCAAACAATTGAGATTGCTCTTCACCAAAGATAATATTGTGTGTTCTGTAAAATGGAATGTAAATATACTCCAGCACTAGGAATAATGGTTTTGCTCCTCTTTTCTGCAGCAATATGAGAACTGGCGACCAAACCAGCCAGACAGCTTCTTTTCTGCTGGAGAAGACTGTGTTGTTATAATATGGCATGAGAATGGGCAGTGGAATGATGTACCATGCAATTATCACCTTACCTATACCTGCAAGAAAGGAACAGGTACAGACTTTCCAGTAACAATAGCATAATTCTCTAAATTCCAGTTTTATAAAGTTAAAATGACCAGTTCTAGCTGATTTATGGTGACCACTACAGTGAGCCCTCAACTGAGTTAGCTTCACAAAGTCATCCTTCATCTGTTTCCACATATTACATCTCTACCTAATCTGTTCTTGAGTCAGGCACAAAAGTGTTCACAGTTGAAACTCTTGATTAAAACCAGGCAAATTTCTTCTTAGGTACAGATCTCAGCAAAAGAGGCATTCATGTACCTGGCAGGCCTGCTTTACTTGCATACCATTAAAATATTACCAACTCCTCTTTCCTGGGACGTCATCACTGTGAAGTATGTGGGCAGCGGAATATTGGTAGGCAGTCAGAGCAGGCAGCTGACCACTGGTATGTGGTTAGCTTTTCAGCTCCCGTTGAGCATAATTTTCACCCATCAAGTAATGCTGACCTTTGTCTTCCTCTTTTCCAAAACCACCTAGTTTAACGGCATGGCTGGAACTGAAAAGCACTCTGGTTTATACACTGTTAGAGCTGATCCTTGCAGGAAACCTCACTGTTACCAGGAGCTGTACAGCAGTACTTTAGGAATTGCCTCTGCCTTTTCAGACTGGGAAAGCAAAGAAGCAGCCAAAATCTTGTGTGCACTCCATTGTTCCCAATTACCATTTACAACTTTTTGTTAACATGTTGTCTGGGCCTTGACAAATCCATCAGTTTTAAGTGCTTTTAAATAGTCTATTGTTGAGGAAGACATAAGAAGTATTGAAAATGAGACTTTTTTCTTAAATGCCTGTAATAATGTCACTGGTTTTCAGGTTTTGCAGCTTTCCAGTGAAAATCACTTCTTTGTGTGAGTATGCCAACCATTTTGGCTCAAATTTATGTCAGAAATTTAAATGAAAAAGGCAATACTGACCATACTGTCTGCTGTTTTCCAATTTTTATCATTACTGTATTTGGTCTACAAGACTGGAGAACTACAGAAAAGACTGATGTCCCTGTCCTTATTTGGATGTCTCTCTTGGGAGTCTAACTGAGTTCCCTTGACATCTTCCCTTAGCCAGGGACACATCCAGAAGTGCATTTACAAACTGATGTTTTGGGTTATGTTCTCTCTTCCTTTCAGTTGCTTGTGGTCAGCCTCCTGTTGTGGAAAATGCAAAGACCTTTGGGAAGATGAAACCTCGTTATGAGATCAACTCCCTTATTAGATATCACTGCAAAGATGGTTTCATCCAGCGCCATATTCCAACCATCCGGTGTCAAGGGAATGGAAGATGGGATATGCCTAAAATTACTTGCATGAATCGTGAGTTCTTTGAAAACAAACCAGTGCTGGATCAGAAATGATAGACTAATTTAAGATTAATAAGTAATGAACATCTATTTTAAGAGAAGTGCAAATCTGGTATGACAGATTATGACAGCAAAACTGCTCACTCTACCTGTAGGAAAATACATCAGGCCTCCAAAACTAATGAAAATGTTCCTCTTCTGTTTTTACAGAAGCCACTAAGACTCTTTTAAAGTAAACAACAACACTCTTACAAAGCCCCTGAAATCAACAGGTTCCTAATAACACTAACAATTCTTTCTGCAACTGTGGTCTAACTGTGTGTAAGAGATGCTTCTCCTGTATGTAACATGGTCATAGTACCAGTTAATCATTTGTTAACCCTCTAATTAATCAAGAATAAATGGAACTGTAATGTGAAGTGTAGCCAGCCCATTTATAGTTAAATAATTTTAAATTAATTTCCCTTTTTTCATCCTTCTCATTGCAGCATCCACATACCAAAGGACTTACTCTAAGAAATACTACTATAAACATTCTTCATCAGGAAAGGGATCATCGTTAAATTCATCAAAGCACTATCATCGCTGGATCAGGACATGGCAGGACTCAAGGCGCTGAGAGCTAAATGGTGAATGGGGATTTCCACCATTTCAGCCAAAGTCATAACTTTCTGTGCCTTTTCTATCACTTATAGGAGTATTATCAAATTGTTTTGAAACTATGGACTGCGGTATTCACAATGCATCTTGCAAAAATATGGTGTTTATCAGAAAATTAAAAAAAAAAAAGGAGAAGTGCTTATGGGGATAAAAGGAAACCATTTCCAGCCTATAAAGATTATTAGTTTTCTATATGCCATCGGTGTGGACCATTTTATGATATATACCAGCCTTCTGCAATATTTAAACAGCTCAATTTTAGCACCAATGAAAATGTAAATAAGATGATTTTAGTGTTGTTTAATTGTGTGTTGTTTTTAAAATCCTGTATATAAAATGAAAAGTCACACTAATTTCAGGCATATTTATGGTTAGAATGGCCTCAGAGGTCTTCAGTCATTTATGACGTTGTTTTTATGTTGTTTACCTAGGCTGGAAATGGTTGAAATAACTTCACTGACTGAAATTTGCTATTATCAGGTGAAGATAAACACACAAGTTACATGAGGTTTTGTTTTTTTTTTTTTAATGGGAACTGTGCCAATTCCCATCCAAGGTACAGTTTGTGTCCATGTGATGCAAAGTTTAGACAGAGCACATAAAAGTGGCATGAAGCATGAACTAGGGACTGCAATATGGAACTTTTTTTCTGCTCTCCATTCCAGCTTCACCATTCATGAGAAAGGACTGCATGGAGAAGTTGTGTATGACAAGGAGGGCCTGTAAAAATCCAAGTGCTAATACATTAACTTTATCAACCAGGGCCACTTTTTTGAAAAGAAAGAAAAAGAAAAAAAAATTACTTTCACAACATTAACCACAAGGTCTATATTACAGGTCTCTGCATTCTAAAATGGAGATAGACCTGGTGTTTGGGGGATTTTTTTTGTAAAAAACAAACAAAAATCAAAAAAGTAAATAATTTTGTATATATAACCATTTTTTAATCTTTTTATAAAGTAATGAATGTTTGTGTATGAATGCTGCAGCTGTGAAGCGTACATAAATAAATGAAGTAAGCCATACTGATTTAATTTATTGGATGTTATTTTACCCATGCAAAGAAGATTAAAAGAGCTCGCCAGTGCAGTATTAGCCCCTGAGCTCCACTTTTGGAACCATCTTTCAGTTCAACTGCTATTTCCCTGGAGAACAAAATTCCTGCTAAACAGGATCATTTGTTTGCGGTTAGATGGGTGAGAACCGTGTGACTTACAGAAGAATCAGAATCTTGGCTTTCTAGAAAGAAGTGTGTGCACAAAGAGATTATAGGTTGTAGTTGGTGCAGTGTGTACGTAGGAGTTTTCTATTATGATTTCTTACCCTGGTCAGCTCGATGACTGACCTGGATGTGTACAGTAAGTGTAGAAGGTAACGTTTGAAACGACCTCTCCACAGAAAGGACTGTTATTTCTGCAAAGTGCCTTGCACACCTTTGGGCACAGGAGAAAAAAACCCCAAACAACAAAACAAAAGTGAAAATAAAGAACAGTAAGTTCCCTATAACATACCTTTTAAAATAACATTACAAATACAAACACAGACGGGAGGTTTACGCCTTTGTGTTAGTGTGGGGATATGATGCAAAAAGTTGAAAGGGAAAGGAAAAGAATTGAAACCCAGCCAACATGTAAGAGTTTGTAGTAGGCAGAGCTGCCCGTGGAGTGACCTTGCCATAGCTCATTGGGAACAGCAATTACGGTTCCAGAGAACATCTCTTAAAAAATTGCAGTGACTGCTCCATCGAGCGTACCCAATCTTTGCGTGTTCAACGTGGCAGTGCGTCACTGTGTTGGCCGGTTTATTCCCCACCCCTTGCCCCCAAACAATGCACATAATACTTTTCTCTATTTATATTATTATCTTGTATAGTGTATAATGTGAATGTCTGGTTTTTTGTGAATGAAAGTCTAAAATCTTTGTAACTTTTATATCTGCTTCTGTTTCACCAAAGAAACAAGGTTTTGCTATACTGTGACTTGTCTTGTTATTGCATGTCTTCCTGTTTAAATCTATGCAATGTGATTTTTTTCATATGAATACAATTAGACTGTCAGGTACTTCACAATTATCATGGGCTTAATCAAGTGCCCACTGGAGTCAAAGAGAGTCAGCTGGCTGAACTTTAGTAGGTGCTGGATTTGACTTTATATGAGCAGCTCTAGGGGATATTTTAAGATATACATTGTATGTTTTGAAGTCGATTATTGCTTGTATAAGTCAAGGCTCTGTTCATAAATATACAGTATTCTACACATCACTTCCTTGTACCAGAAACATACAGAACAGAAAATATATTTTAACACTTTGCAAACTTTCTCACCATATGTATAAAAAACCCTGCATAGATTTGTTGTTTTCTTGTCTACTTGTTGGATTTAAACAATGTTGTAAGGCATTCAGATAACATTGTGATTGTAGTTTTAAATAGGTTAGATACAGTGCTTATATTGATTTTTTTCACCTCCTTCTATTACGCATAATAAAATAGGACTGACAACATTCCTTATTAAAAAAAAAAAAAAAACAAAACCAAAAAAAAACCTGTTACCCATGCTTGTTTATTTAGACAGAGAATGGAATGTTATTCAGCTCTGGAGACTTTTTCTAATACTGATCTAACTCCCAAATGTTCCAATACCAACTCCCCGCAAAATGCACCCACTCATATCACAAAGTTAGGTCTGCTGTGAAGCCAGGGAGTGATTCCTTTACGTGGAGCATCTCTGAACTCCAGTATGTGGAAGCGTGTTGGGATTGGAATAGAGGGATAGAAGAAAAAACTACAGATTTAAATACAGGTTTTCCGAGTCTTTCTTAGCTCTGCTTTCCTGCCTTTCAAGTTAAACCAGAATTCTTTTTAACTTATTTTTCAACGGTACCCTGTATCTGCTGCAGAGATAGACGTGTCCACTCTAAATTGTGCTTTACAAGTACAGGAAAGACAAATATCAGAGTAGTATTCCTGTAGTAATCTTCCCCTGTTGCATAAGTATTAAACTGTTTGTCTCTACTAACACACTGTCTGCCATTTAAAAGGATACAGAAACACCTGTAGACTAGGAGGTGGAAAGGTTAGGAGAGGATGGGGCATTGACAACTAAAGTCATTAGCTTGGAGGAGCTCAGATGAGCACTGCACATCTTGGGTTGCCAGCAGCACATGGAGTATCTGGTTCGACCAAGGCTCAGGCTGCAGGTTTGTGCACAGAGCTCAAAATGCCACACGAGAGCAATTGCATTTTGTGTGCCCATGAAAATCGCTGCAGAGTAGCTATTATTATTCTGAACATCTTCCTGTCACTTCAGATATTGACAGTATTTGACTTCCCGGCATGAACCTCAGACCACAGGGTTCACCTCCTGCAGAGGTTAACACCACACAGGATAGAAATAAGCCAGGCCATCTATTTTGGTAGAGCTTCTCAAATAGCAAGAGAAGGCACTGGTTAGTGGAAAGATTGCTGTATTCCAGCTACGCCCTAAAAGATGCACAACTTCTTGAAGCTATGGAGGAAGAGACAGCTCCCTGATGGCAGATCTCCTTGAGGGACACTGGTTTCTATGGGATCTTTTGCCTGAGACGTCACTGCAAGCAGTGACTCATCAGAGACTGGGGTTGGACGAACCATGTAGGAGAAAACACAAGTCCCTGGAAGTGCAACAGGTGGGCCAGCAAGATACAAATGGGCTGGCAAGGGGCTGCTAATGGAAAGGATAGTCTGCAAAGAGGGCTTTGCAGTCAGAAATTGCTTTGCCAGGGCAATGGCTGGAGGAACATTGTCTGAGGTTCAACCTATGGGTATGCTTAAGGCCTATGTCTGTAATACTTTTTTAAGCGAAAAGTCTTCATTTCTGTAGGCAACATCTTTGCTCTGAGCATATGCAGAAGACAGCACACACAAGCAGAGGCATTCCCTTGGCAATGGGAGGCTGAAACTGCAACAGCTGGTACAAGTTTGAGCTGTAAAAATCTCAGCAGCACAGCAGCCTGGGGTGACTGAGGAGGAAGTAGAGCAAGAGGAGCAGCAGCAGCTGCAGCCACCAATGTAAATGCTGTTAACTAACTTCTGAAAAACCTGGATCCTGCTAAGAGCATGACTGGTGGATGTAATTAAATCCTCAGTGAAGCTCTGCACCTCCAGCAAGTTTGGGTTTTTTTTTTTTTTTTTTTTTTTTTTTTTTTTTTTTTCCTTTTTTTCCACATTGTAAATGCTTTTCCACATTGTAAATGCTGACTTTTTGCATTTGGAAGAGCTATGTTTTTGTCTGCTAAGAAGTCTTACTGCTGTTGTGTCTCAAAAAACCCCCCAGACGGTTTCTTCTCAGCACAAGCAGGGCTGCTGAAGGAGCAGTGGCTGCAAAGATGCCTCCTAGGTTTTTTAGGCAGATCTGTGAACTTCAATGGCGTTTGTAGGGAGAGAGATATGAATTGCTCCTGGTGTGAACCAGAGCTATTTCCTACTCCAGATAGTAGGGAAAAAGGGTGGTTGTGTTCTTTGCACAATTAAAAGGCTTGCAATATGCCCTCCTGTCCCCCAAAGGTAGAAGATGACTCAAGCTGTCTGTAGGCTTCAGCTGTCCAGGTAGAAAATTGCTCCTTCACCAGGAAATATTTAAGGTGTTGCATACCAACAGTGACTGGAAAAATCTCTGGGCTCAGTGCGACTGTGTTAATGTACAAAGGCAAATGCATTCTTTTTCAGAGAAAACATGCAGCTTGTATTATTGATTGTAAGCAGTAATGTGCATAGGACTCTACGAGCGCACTGTTTTTCCTGGCAAACAATGAAAGGGATACAAACGATGTTTGGACAAAGCACAGACAAAAGCTGTAAAGTTGTTAGCGTGGTGAAGCCAAGAAGTATAGTAATTGTAAGGACGAAATATCATCCAGAAAAAGGTGTATCACTTGAATGCTCCAGCAGCAGACCTGGAAGGAAACTTAAGAGCCTGTAAAGTGCAATTTGATGGCAAATTTTGGTTTTCACAGCAAATAAATATTTTCAAGTGGGGAAGCCATCAGCTGTTACTGCTATAGAGGCTAAGTTACTGTGTAAATGCAGATAAAAAAGAGAAATGGGACCTTGAGGTGTTTTAGTGAGGTATTT